CGGGCCGCCCACGGGCTACGGGCCAATTTTACACTCTTATCAATGTGAATGTTAACATGTCAATGTAAATATTCACATTGTCAATGGACCGGGTCGGGCCCGCCCTGGGCTGCTGGCGAATTTTATACTCTTATCAATGTGAATGTTAACATGTCAATGTGAATATTCACATTGACAACAGACCGGGCCAGACCCACCCCGGGCCGCCCACGGGCCGTGGGCGGATTTCAGACAGCCACGAGGCGCGGGCTAATTTTACACTCCTATCAATGTGAATGTTAATATGTCAATGTAAATATTCACATTGTCAACGGGCCGGACCGGGCCAGCCCCGGGCCGCAGGCGGGTTTTTTGCCGTCCATGGACCGCGGGCCAATTTTGTACTCTTATCAATGTGAATGTTAACATGTCAATGTGAATATTCACATTATTAACGGGCCGGACCGGGCTCGCCCCGGGCCGCCCATGGGACGCGAGCAGGTTTCGCACCGCCACGGGACGCGGGCCAATTTTACACTCCAATTAATGTGAATGTTAACATGTCAATGTGAATATTCACATTGTCAACGGACCGAGCCCGCCCTAGCCCGACTCGAATTTTTCCGAGCACCCATGAGGATCGACATGGGCCGAGTCCCTACACATTGACGATATGAACATTCACATTGACGGTGTGAGCATTCACATTAGGGATATTTTGGTAATTACGTCACCCATAGGACTTATTGAAACATAAGAAAATAATGTGAACTAAATGAAACATCAGTAGATAAAAAGGGTATTTTGGTCTTCTTATCTCAAATAGGACCTAATGGAATAGTCAAAAAGAATATGGATTGGATGGAATAAAGCTCTTAGAAAGTGGATTTATCAAAAAAGCTCCCTTAGAGATAAAAAGATAAATCATAAATATTCCCTTGTGATTTATTTAAAATACTAATTATTTTCTATAGTTTAAAAAATTAAAAATATCATTGTAAGAATTTTTTATTTAATATAACAGTGGTGCTATATGCACCAATTAGTATACCAACTACTGTACCAATATATATTATGACATTATCACTGACCTCACTCATTATACAAATTATAAATACTAAAAACCTCTAAATTATGTCACATCATCTGTTAGTACGCTAATTGGAATACAAATTGATGCATATACCATTATTCTTAACAAAATTAACTAAAAAATAAAATTCTTAACAACTCTTTTATACAATAATAAAATTACCTAAATTATTGATTCAAATATATTTCTAATATCATTTAAAACTATTAATTGACTTGATAATTTATTAATAAAATGAATCATCTATTATAAAACTACAAACTTCAAGGAGCAGGATATAGTTTCTAGGATCATATAGAACAATTCATATTTTCATTAAATTTCAATATGTATATTTGTAATTTACCCGAGCTAAAATAAAATTTTAAAAACGAAATATCTTTATTGTCAAAAATGTCATTATTATATTTGTAGCAATGAAATTAAACATTTAGTGATGAATTGTTATTGTTTATTTTTTAACTGGATGAATTATTATTCTTGGGACCAAAATTTATCTCCAAAAAATAAATTATTTTGGAATCAAATTATTTTGTTCCTAAAAATGTATTTATTAATGATATTTTCAAAATGAAAAATGCTAGGGACCCCAAACAAATTACCTTTCTTAGAAAATTTGGTAATTTGTTTGGGGTCCCTACCATAACTCATTCAAAATTTTGTAACTAAAAGTCTTTTTTTTTTTTTACTTTTCGAGACAACCTTTTAACGACTATTTTCGAAACAACAGAAATTAATCTTCAAATATTTTTTGCAACTAAACTATTTGAGGATAAAAAATTTAGTCTTTAAAATTTTTATGGGTTATAGTGTTAGCTGGATTAAATTTACAAAATTACTAAAGAACCATTTATCACATACTATATAAATTTGATATTTTGTAAAATAGAGAACAAAATAATCTTTTAACTATTAATCCATGGGAATGCTAATCCCACTAATGAGGGATTCATGCTCCTATAATATTGTTGGTCTTATATCATTTTGTTACAGCAAATTATGTGGATCCCACAAAGTACTAATTTAATCCCCTCCTCAAACACCAATAAAACATGACTTAGAGCCAAGTTTTTCTCCAACAATGCTTGTTTTGAAAAGTAGGAAAAAGCCAATTTATTAATTTATTTGGATCACATTTCTTTTTATTTTTTTACACGTTTATTCAAAAAAAAAAATTAAATCATTAAATTAACTTTTTTTCTTATTTTTCAAAACGATACTTGTTTTGAGAAGTAGGAAAAAAGTCAATTTATTGATTTATTTGGATCACATCTCTTCTTCTTTTTTTTTTTTTTACATGTTTATTCCAAAAAAAAAACTAAAAAAAATCATTAAGTTAACTCTTTTTTCTTACTTTCAAAACAAGCCAAAAATGTCGTAGGAAACAAATGCCCTCATTTTCCTTTTTCTTTCTTTTTCTTTAATAATAATAAATGAATAGCTCGTAGAAATTACTACTACTTAACCATAAGTGCAATTTTTAATTTTCAAATTCATAACTCATTTTCCTTTTTCTTTCTTATTCACTTGCCTAATTATATTTTTGGATAAGAACATTTAAGGAATCATATTTTCCTAAATTTCAATTCATTTAATATTATTGTTTTGGTAATATTGAAGGAAAAACTCAAATTATTAATTCCATAACAAGGTGCAAGAGTTCATACCAATCTGACTTATCCCATTTAATTAGTTCAAATGTGCTGATGAAAGCTACTTACCTAATAAACTTATAAACGGAAAACCATTTTTGGCAAGTAATTGGGGATAACTTAATACTTGGATACATTGAAACATTACCAATAAGCCAAAGCATCTACTTAAAAGGATTAGGTTATAAATAAAAATAAAAAACTACTCGAGCATCTATTCTCATACAACAAAATAAAACTACTAGTGTTTTAAAAAAATAATAATAAATAAAAAAGAAGAATAAGTTGCAAATTTCCTCTCAAATGAAAACAAAATAGAAAATATATATATATATATATCCCTCATTTTCCTACTACTATGGTTGTCATTGTTATAACACTCAGGAAATGTTGTAACGCTCACCAAAGAAGTGTTCAACACGTCAGGAAATGTTGTAACGCTCACTCAGGAAATGTTGTAACGCTCACCAAAGAAGTGTTCAACACGTCAGGAATTGTTGTAACGCTCACTCAGGAAATGTTGTAGCGCTCACCAAAGAAGTGATCAACACGTCAGGAAATGTTGTAACGCTCACTCAATATTAGGCACCACCAATTCGAATATTGCATGCACTAAGGGTGCAAAATACACGCACTTGATGCCTCTTGGCATCCATTAAGCTCACCAAAAGAATATTGCATTCACAATTTTAACATCTTCCAAGAGAGCCAAACCACCTTGAAGATGGATCAAGTTTAGTAAAATTATGAATCGGTCGGTAGCAAAAAGAGATATAAATTTATTTAATTCAACTAAGCAAGGTTGAAGGATCATGTAGACATACAAATGTATCGTATGACCATGTGCCATTAATTTTGAAAGGATGAACATTAATCTGAAAGAAAGGGAGAGAAATTTATGTTGAAAGTAGGCAGAAAATCAAAAACACAAAAAAGTCCATTCCAAATGAGACTTTTTAACTTAGACTAAAATAATTAAAAAGTCAAAAAGCTAATCCATATTTCAAACAAAGCCATAATATTTATCTAAATTGATAATTAGTTTTAAAAAAAAAACAAAAAACAAAAAAAACGATTGCCCCACTTGTTTGATATTCGTGTTGAATAATTTCTTCAAATATGAGTCATCAAAAAATTCATATACTAAAATAAAATAGACAGTTTGGAGAGGAAATACAAATGCAATTTCTTTTGGTAAGTATTTGAAGATTAATAATTAATACTTCTTTTATGTGTGTAACTGTGTGTAACTGGATCGTACTGTTGGATCACTTTGCCCATCACAAAACTCACTTTCATGATCTGAATGAAAGAACCAGAATGAACCATTTTATCTTGTAAGAGCCTTTAATTGAATAGCAATAAGCACATGATAAACTCATATTTATCTTTAAGAAAAATGAACAGATATGATTTTCCAACTAGACTTATTTATCTTTAAGAAAAATGAACAGACAATTTTTTGAATAGACCATCTATAGTATTTTGAAGGTCCATAATTTGATTATGTGACCATGATTAACAACGTAATTTCTTATATAAATAATCTCCTGGAAAGATCTTTTTAAAAAATAAATAATTCCGCGCATCAGGATGGATCACATACGCTTTGGAATTTTTTTAGCTATTTTAACCACAAAAGACAAAATAAGTTATTTTAGCCACAAAAAATAAAACATCACATCTAACTCATGATCATTAATCCAACCCATAATCATTACACTCTTCTCTCACAAAAAAATAAAAAAAAATCAAAAAGTCATTCCCAAAACCAAGCCTTCTAGCCAGGCTAAAATAACCAAAAAAATCAAAAAACCAACCCACTTTCCAAACGAAACCAACTATACGGTGCAGCTAAAACTGTCAACTGGAGAGAGAAATTGCCAGAAAAGGAGCACAAACCATTCTTTCTAAGGCCTCGTTTGGAGAGTGGCTATTTTAGCCAAAAACTCAAAAAGCCAACTAAAACTAGTGAATCACCTCTCTACTTTTCTGCACATCTTTTCGTAAAAAGCCAAAAAGTTACTAAAATATCCTGTTCCCAAACGAGGCCTAAGAATAAATGCATTTGCCTATCCATCACCCTAGACCATAAATAATCTCCATATCTTATAAGAATTACCAAACCAAACCTCCAAAACAGTTTTTTGAGTAATCATTTCCATTTTACACAGATAAGTAAAGGAATTACATATATATATATATATATATGTTGTTCTCAAAATATATATATATATATATATGGAGAGAGAGAGACAGAGAGAGAGAGAGATTGATTGATTGATTTGTACCTATCCATTCGAGCACCACCACCCAGATTTACACAAAAATATTTGCCAAAATATATCACTTGTGCTTAGGTGACATTAACAAGTAAACTTTTTTGATGATATAGATCCAAGGCTGCTCTCTATTCAAGTCTTTTTTCAGTCCTTGAAATGCATCATCATCATCCACCAGAAGTCAACTTCAAAACCCCAACTACTTTACCCACTGTTATATAGTCTACTACAACTCCCCCACCACCTATTACAAACCCCAAAACAAAAGCTTGAAAAGAAACAACCTCCCAAAAAAGGCACATTGTTATGGAGACGATGGACAAGGACGGCCCTCATTTGCCGCTGGAATCATACCTTCCTCTTCCTTGCCAAAATTTGAAGAGCGAGGACCACCATTGCCACGTTCTTCATCATCTTGTCCACCACTTGGCGATCTTCCCCACTCACTAGGTGCAACGTCACTGTTGTTCGGCAGTGATAACTGTTGCTGTTGAAAAAATGATGGGACCGGTCGAGCCTGCTCCATCATTTTTTGATGAAAACTTCGAACTGGGGAATGTTCACGTGCTGGTGCTGGTGGACTCCGGCTACGAGCCCCGTCAACCCCCCACCCTGAACCCTTGTTTGGGCTTCTACTTCGGCTGCGAGCTCGAGACCCACCTCCAGCACTAACCATCATTTCATGGAAGCTCTTTCGAGGATAACCCCCAGTACCATCCGCATCATTATTGACACTGCGGCCATACCTGTCGCTACATCAGGAAAAGTTATACCATCAAACATTACTTTAAAAATTACAGCTAAACATATGATGGAATGGAAATGAAAATTGTGTAATTTCAGATTAATCAGAAGTCCACAAGTAGCCCCCAGTTTGTCTTACAAATCACGTAACTCTTAATATATCAGGCATAACAATCCAGTAGCCACATAATATAAGTTTAGAAAAATAATTACTACTACATGAAAGAGGGCATGTACCTGTCCTGGGAGTCAAGGTCAGAACCATGGCCACCACCTCTTCCACCATAGCCCGAGCAGCCATTCCGTCCACCATAGCCTGAGTCATTGCGTCCACCAGAATCAGAACCCCATGGACGTCTAGGCCTGCCCATTCCAAAGCCGCCACGTGCAGCCATATCACGAAGTTCAGCTGGGACACATTGGTCTGCTCCTTCTAAAATTTTAATGAGATCTGAAGCGTGCTTTGCATCTTGGTCACCAAAAAACGTGTAAGCCAGTCCAGTGGCACCTGCCCTCCCAGTCCTTCCAATCCTGTGAACATAGTCCTCTACTCCTGTAGGGAAGTCATAATTGATAACCACCCTGTTACAAAAGAATCGACACCATCATTGCAGCAGCTTTATAATTAAATTTAATTTCATAATAAAAGCACAGAAGCTGGGAGAAGAAAGAATCAGAAACTCTGCACAGGTACAACACGAATTTACAAAGAAAATGATAGACCACAAAATATAACAAAGCAATTCAATAGAACAGCATAAACAAGAAGCGTTCTAAAATCCAAATGAACAAGAAAAGGAAATGAGGATTCAATCAAATGCCAAGACTAAAAATATGCATGCCCTTGGAAACAACATGCAACCAACTTAAAGTCATAATAACTTAGCCTCAAAAATATGTCAATGTAGTCAATAACCCCAGCCTCACTTTATTTGTATCTTCACTGTGAATAATAACTAGCCATATATTGCGAAATAACCAACCTGATATCTTTGACATCTAATCCACGAGCTGCAACATCAGTGGCTACAAGCACTGGAGAATTCCCAGAGCGAAACTGGCTCAACACATTATCCCTCTCACTCTGATTTTTGTCTCCATGAATGGCAGCAGCCCCAAACTGGCGGGTTAGATTACGAGCAAGTTGATCACACATCTTCTTGGTTGAACAAAAGATAATGATCTTAGATCCTGGTTCTTGAGACCGCAATATCTGCTCAAGCCGCCTGTGTTTCTCCATAGGCTGCAACACTTCAATATACTGCAAGTAACCAACAAAACAAATTATTGGACGTTTTAAAAATCCAACATAAAGGACTAAGAAACTATGTAAATAGAAGCTAGCTAAATATTGAAATCCCCCACAGAAATATTTTATGTGCTATAGCTACAGAGGAAGCAAACAAACAGGGTGAGAAGAGTAGATGAATATAGGAATCTGCGTACCTGGGTGATAGACTTGTTGGCAACAAGCTCATCAACGTTTCCAATGTTAACCTGAACAGGATTGACCAGTAGATCTGCGGCAATTTTGCGAACCTCCTTGGGCCATGTTGC